ACCCACCTGGAGTCTATTGTATTCACCTCATTTAGAGGAAACACCAACTCCCAAGTTGCTTCTTCGTAATTTTTTTGGAACTTCGGATAGTAAAATTTTTGCTGAGAGTGCCATCATGAAGCTATTCATATCCATGCCATTGTCATTATGTCTAATTGGCATCTTTTATTCTCTATTACTTTTTCTTATAGTCTCACCCCTTTTTTCTTTATTTTCATTTTCAAAATTATCTTTCCATACATCTGTTACCTTTTCTTCAGTAAAAATTTTGGTTTGTTTCACATATTATTCATCAAATATCACACGTCGAAAAACTTCAATTTTATTATTTGTTGTTGTTTGTTTGTGTTTAAATGACTGCGGACACTAAATCCATTCGCCAATCTTACAATTTGAGGTGTAGTGTGTGTGTGTGTGTGTAGAGTAATTGTCTTGATACTTAGCAAAGTCGACGTCATTGTCTTTGCTAAGAGGCGCTAATTGTATCCGAACGTCTGCGGACCCTGCGGTGAGTACATTTTATTATTTAATGGATTCCATAAAGAATATCCATTATTACTGTATCCTACCAAATATTTTTCTTGACTTATTTCATCGAGCTTTCCTCTTACTTCTTAAGGAACATGAGACCCAAGCCTTCAATCCAAATATTCGTATATTTTCTAGATCTTTTTATTAAACCAAATTTCTGCTGGAAGTTTACCACTTGGCATTGTAGTAGTTTTTAATCAATTATTATATATGTTGCTGTTCGTACAGCTTCACCTCATAAGTTCTTAGACAGTTCACTGTCATTTTGTCACTGTCAAATTTCCAGCAAATTATTTTGTTTCAACATTAATTCCATGCGAAACTTTTAATTTGAAAAACCTGTACCATCAAATTGTTTAAAATTTTCTACCTATAGATAGATCGCCAATGCTCTCTTTGTTTTGATTATGTTCACGTTTCCAGAGTTCCAAAATTCCAAGATCCTAATTCCTGTTTACCATTCGAATAACAAACTATTACATTTAACTGGCAACGTAACTGCGCCCATAACCTGAAAGTGATTTCTGGATCCGAAGCAGATAAAACAAATAATATTTCATTATTTATTGAATACTTTTAATAATAAGAATGTTGTTAATCAGATGGAAAAGAAAATGCGAAGGCATGGGAGTACCTGGTACGGAACGTAATACCTATATACATTAAGCTTTTCAGACAATCAAGTAGGGATTGCATAAGACCAAGACGGCTGAGCTACATGATGAAGAAACTACAAGAAGAATATATCAAGGCTGGCCTAGATTGTTAACCTCGCGAAAACAGAGTACCTATCTACAAATGAAGAAGGACAGAACAGCAATCCGACAAAACTTATTATACGTTATAGTGGGATGAAATGGGACTAATGAAGACAAAAATACACAGATTTATTAAAACATTAGTGCGAAGTATTTTGACATAGTGGCTGAAAACTGGATTATAAATAAGAAAAAACAGCAGTAAGATAGTGAATCAACAGAGATGGAATTCCTGCGAAGATGCTCCAGAGTAATAAAAATAGATAGGAGAAGTAATGACGAAATAAAGCAAAAAAAACATCAATAGAAACAGACCATACTAACATATATAGAACAAAAAAGACTAAACTGGTATGGACATGTATGAAGAACAGCAAATGGATAAAGCGAATAACCGAATGGAGCCCCATAGGAAGGAGGAAAGAGGACGCTCCGAAGATTCTGGAGGAACGAAGTAGACGACGCCATGAGTTACGAGAGGCCTAAACGATGGAGAATGTGACAAAACAGAGAGAGATGGAAAACGGTTAAGCGAGGGAAAGCAGTAAATACTGTAGAATCCCTGAAATAATATATGTATTTATTATATATATATATATATATAGTATATAGTCTATATATATATATACATATATATATATACAGTTATATATATATATTTATTAGTATATATACATATATATATATTTATATATATATATAATATATATATATATTATATATATAAGAAATACTGGATATTATTGACTGTCGATATAAACAAACAACACAGTTTTATTAGGGTTGCAGTCAGAATATTGGCCGGGATGTTAAAAAAAACACTCTTTGGACTTTTTGTCGAGCTTTCGGAATGGTTTTATTCCTTTTTCAAGACATAGTCGTTGAGATTATTTTTGTAAGCATTGAACACTCAACATTTATACCACACATTAAAATATACAATTATGGACATAATACATCATAAATTTTTAAAATTTGTTGTAAAAATAGTAAAACTTGATTGATGGCATGATTAGAGTTAATAGACACCAGTAAAACATGCCATCTAATCAAGTTTTACTATTTTTACAACAAATTTTAAAAATTTTATGATGTATTATGTCCATAATTGTATATTTTAATGTGTGGTATAAATGTTGAGTGTTCAATGCTTACCAAAATAATCTCAACGACTATGTCTTGAAAAAGGAATAAAACCATTCCGAAAGCTCGACAAAAAGTCAAAAGAGTGTTTTTTTTAACATCCCGGCCAATATTCTGACTGCAACCCTAATAAACTGTGTTGTTTGTATATATATATATCATATATATATATATATATATATATAAATATATATATATATATTATATATATATATATATATATAAATATATATATATATATATATATATATATATATATATATATATATATATATAGTTTAAGTTTAGTTCTTGAACCTTAATATATATTTTTAGTGGATTCTCTTGGGCTTAGGTTCATAAAAAAATTTTAGTTTGATACTAAGACATTTTTATATATTTTTTTCCGACGTTTCGGCAGGAAATCCATGCCTTTTTCAAGAAATAATTGACTAAAAAAAAACATTTTATGACAGACATAATACGGTTTAAAAAATAAACTTTTAACTTACCAAGCATGTAAAGATTCGATATTAACAATTAGACGTCACAATTAAAATAATATTAAAAACATAGGACATACCCACTAAGTCACTACAAGTAAAATGTATTTTAAATCTAATGTGTTGTTTATTGATGTTAGTTTATCGTTTAAACAATCAGTTATTTTAACATCATAGGCGTTCTGAGATTGACTTTTTATGTGTTTTTAAATTAAGTTAAAATATATTTTGTTCAAATTTTTGACATCTTTTTTATCATTTATTGCGTTATTATTTTTTTTTATTTGTATAGACTCTTTTTCTCTCTCTTTTTTTCTTAGCTCTCTCTTTTTCCTGTTGGTTTCACTTTTTAGGATGCTCAAAAAAACCTGGTCGTCGAGATATTTGAATTTCAACTCCCATCATCCCCTGTCTCAAAAGAAATCAGTAGTTATCGGACTCGCTGATAGAGCTATTAGATTATCCGATCGTATCAATAGACCTCAGGCCATTAAAAAAGCAAAAACAGCACTAACACTTAATTCATACCCACACCATCTTATCGACAACACTTTCAAATCGCGACTGCATAAATTTTACAATACCAATAATAATAATGAAACCAACACGGTAAAGAAAAACTATATGTCTCTCCCCTATATAAAAGGATTATCAGAGCAAATAGCAAATCTTCTGTCTAAACATAATATTACGGTTGCTCATAAAGGTCACAATCTTTTGAAAAGGAATTTTACAAGATTGAAAACAAAAACCCCTCTATTAAAAAGATCGCATGTTGTATATGAAATTCCCTGCTCGAATTGTGATGGAGTTTATATTGGACAAACTAGTCAACTACTTAATTCAAGAATACGTTCCCACAAATATGACAAAAAAAAACTCAACCGCCCTCACAAAACATGAAAACGAAAAAAAAACATAAATTTAATTTTGAGCAAACCAAGATCCTAAAAAGTAAAACCAACAGGAAAAAGAGAGAGCTTCTAGAGTCTATACAAATAAAAAAAAATAATAACGCAATAAATGATAAAAAAGATGTCAAACATTTGAACAAAATATATTTTAACTTAATTTAAAAACACATAAAAAGTCAATCTCAGAACGCCTATGATGTTAAAATAACTGATTGTTTAAACGAAAAACTAACATCAATAAACAACACATTAGATTTAAAATACATTTTACTTGTAGTGACTTAGTGGGATGTCCTATGTTTTAATACTATTTTAATTGTGACGTCTAATTGTTAATATCGAATCTTTACATGCTTGGTAAGTTAAAAGTTTATTTTTTAAACCGTATTATGTCTGTCATAAAATGTTTTTTTTAGTCAATATATATTCTTGAAAAAGGCATGGATTTCCTGCCGAAACGTCGGAAAAAATATATAAAAATGTCTTAGTATCAAACTAAAATTTTTTTATGAACCTAAGCCCAAGAGAATCCACTAATATATATATATATATATATATATATATATATATATATATATATATATATATATATGAGAGTCAACGGCCATTACGATATGATAAAAACAAAATAAGTGAACTCTACTGACTTATTCTATAGTTGCAATCTCACATGACATATGTCAATTTTAAAATCAAGGCGGAATTGTGGTATTTTAACAAACTATAACACGTATTGTTTATTTTGAATCATTATATTAAGCGGCAAATATGTCTTTTAATAAAGTATTCGGATCCTAACTTACATTAATATAACTTAAAAAATCATTAATAAATTAAGCGACATTTTATTGAGGAATTTTTAATTTAGTATAAATTAATGTTGAAAAAACACTTTTAAAAGAGTCTTTTTATATATTTTATATACTCTATTAAACATCAAACATTGCAGTACTGTTTTACAAACAGCACCGAACATGAATTTAAAAACTGTAAACCATTTTTTCTCGAAATTACATTTTGGTACTTGGTCCAATTGATAATACAAGTAAACCTCTCGTTGCGTCTGATTCGTCAAATGTAATTAATAGAATATTTATCACTATTTTATTATTAATATTTATCAATACATTACTGATAACTTTAAGGGCCATTGTCAACGAGATATAATAAATAGTAGTCAACTAAAACTGGTACAGTATCTTTTAGGAAAATAATGGTATGAAAAAAAAAAATAGACTTCAGTTTTACGAAATAACAAAAACAACCTTTTGAACTTGCGCGCCGCGACAAGGTCAGCTAGCTTTTAATCAACCAAAACGTATATATACGTATGTGAGACATATAAAACGTATTATTTACAATGCACAACATGGATAGTAAGGTCTTGCCAAGGGTTAAACTAAACCAGTCGTCGGTGATAGACGTGGATAAGGTGAATTCAACTAATTCGGCAGCTCACCTTGTACAGCGTACAAGAGATGTATTCGCATCAAGAAAAACACTTTCGATATCGTTTAGAAAAAAACAGCTAAAGGGGCTTTTAGACTTTTTAACTAAGGAAGAGGAGAATCTTTGCAAAGCTTTATACGAAGATCTTAAAAAGCCCCGCCATGAATGTCTGATAGCGGAAATTGAAATAGTTAAAGCTGAGATACAAACTACTTTAAAACATTTAGACAGTTGGGCTAAACCGCAAAAAATTAAAACGACTTTAGTGAATTTGTTTGATGATCTTTTGGTTGCAAGTGATCCTTACGGTGTAGTTTTGGTTATTGGTGCTTGGAATTATCCAATTTATGTTTTATTTCAACCTGTTGTTGGTAAGTAGTTTTTATTTCATAAATCACAGTCACTTTTCTTGATACCCATGTTAAGTGAATCAGCAAATATTAAAATTAGAGGTATTATAAAAATATAAACGAAATAAATGTTGTGTACCATATTTTCAAATCGAGCGAATATTTTTGATTTATGATTTAATTGTACGCTTGGATCTCTCTTAATACATCTACATGGTGTCTGACTAGAGAGTCCTTTTTTGCCGTTTGTACAATAAAAACTGGGATTTATTATTCTCTTCGCTACCAGGCTTAAGGAATGATTTGCACAGTATTATACCAGATTTAGCAAAAAATACGGCGTTTTAAAACATTTTTTTTTGCGTAAAGTTTTGATACATTGGAGAATTTTTTATTATCTAAAAGAATATAGTTGTTTGTTTGTGTTTTATATGACTGCCAACACTAAATCCAATCGTCAATCTTAAAATTTTTACTCATTTTTTCATTAGTTATTGTTTCATATACCATCTTATCCTAAATCTATTAATAGTATTGATCTTTAATATATAATTTTTTTTTCATTTGTTTCTATCTATTAAACGTATCTAGTTTTTTTCTATTAGTTGCTTTTTTAGCTTTCTTCTCTTTTTTTTATTTTTATTTATTTTTTTTTATTTTTTTTTTAATTTATTATTTACTTCTTAAATTTTTTTATTTTATATTTTTTATTTTTTTTTAATTTTCCTTTTCTATTATTTTTTTTTATATTTGTTTTATATTCTAACAAATTACAAAAAAATAATAACTCTATATTTACAACTACAATTTGAGTTTAATATCTAAAACATGTTTATACAATAATCTATAAATAAATCGTTGTTTTCTAATGTATAATAAATAATTTAAATAGGTAAAGAAATAATAAATAAGACTTACTCACAATAAATTTAATTTAACTATTCAGACGACCGGTTTCGCTTTCTAAAATATGCAAAGCATCTTCAGGTCTGGATACAAAGTTAAATAAATGCTGAAATAATAATAAACCCATATTAGGGTGTTGTCTAATAAATATAAACAAAGTAGATGTTATAAAATTACAATAATTATGCCAATATTACATGTCTGTGGTTTTTCAAAATGAATAAAAAGGAATAAAAATGTATAAAAAGTTTTACCAGACAAGGTAAAACCCACAAATTGTTATAAAATAGTCTATTAGATTGTAATAAATTAATAAATAAGCAAATAAATAAAACATTACATGCCGGTACTCTATTAATTGATGGATGGTAGAACATGGTTGTAACTATCATGTATTGTTGAATGGAAAACTTAAGCCTGCTATTGTAGTTGTTTGACAATAAACGGGAAGTTCTTGAGGAGATAGATTTGATACAATGAAGTATTGATTAAAATAAACTTAAATTAATGGGATGGTGGACATCGGTCAAAGAATACAGCGAATTTAAAAAATTATTAACCTTATTAGATATAAGAAAACCGTCCAAAATTTTGTTGTAGGTTACCCATCTGACCACAAGTACATTGTGGACTATCAGCTAGATTTATTTGAAACATATATGGTGGTGTAAGACAGTGGTTAAATCTCATTCTGCATATAGTTCTTGTCATATCCTTTGTCGACTCCATTTTAAGAAAACCAGGACTTATCCGTATATGGTTTCTGATTGCTCTGTAATAGTTTTCTGTATTTAAATTCTCATTAATAGTGCTTTCTTTCTTAAGCTCTTTGAATATGTCTGATTCTATATCTCTAGGCGTACAAAGATAATGAGTTATAATACTCCTTGTGCCACTGCGTTTTTTGCCAATCTAAAAGAGTATTAATTTGCCATAAGCGTCGCATCAAGGGACAACCCTCATATAAAAAAAATTATATATAATAACAAATGCCTGCGTTTTATTCCGACTGTTAACATTTGTTATATTTAACGAGCATTTTACACTTCACTACACTTCGGACTAAACAGTCCATCATCAGGTTTAAATTTTAAAATTGCTAGGTTATAATGCCTGAGCCACCAAAATACCTGGGTAAAAACCCTTTAAATTACATATAGTTGTAAAAGATTATACATCATGTTGTAAAAAAACTATATGTAATTTAAAGGGTTTTTACCCAGGTATTTTGGTGGCTCAGGCATTATAACCTAGCAATTTTAAAATTTAAACCTGATGATGGACTGTTTAGTCCGAAAACGTTTGTTTTTTTGATGTAGCCCTTTTAAGGGTTTTTAAATAAATATACCCATTTACGAAGACTAACCTCTTTTTTTACTGTATAAATGTCCCTGTCCAATGTACAATGAAAAACATAAACTCTAGCCACGAAACTGGGGATCATTGAGACACGGACAAAAGTTTTAAGCCAAAACGCGACCTTTTGGTTTTTATAAACGGTCTCAAATAAAAGCGTCCCTTGTATAATAGTACACATTTATTTAATGCCATGATTGCTCCCAGATTTTTTTAGATTCATACAGTTTTCTTTGAGATAAGCAATACATATCGCTAATTATGTCAGAGTCTTCCTTTTACAAATGCATTTGGAGAGCTAAATTGTAAACATTAAAAAAATTAAGAAGAAGCTGTTATGACTGATGACTAACAAAATATTTTTGCCCAAAAAATATGAAATCTTGACTCTAGTACTCGCTTACTCTATGGAATCGTACTATGCCCATATATATTTAATATCAAAAATATGTACACTTTATTCAGAGTAACGTTTTTCCAAACAATTAAGTGAATTTTTTGTGAATTCCAATAATTCAAAAATATTTCGTTTAAAAGGTCTAATACAATACTCAAGTCTTCCATAGTAACTGGCTGCTATTTTTCATCATCAGAGATACTGCTCCAGCTATCATTTTTATCTAATGAATAGTCATCGGAAGGTAGGTACTCCAATTCAGAGTCCTGTAATAGGTTTTCTGCAATTAAAATATTACTCTTATGTGTCTATTTCTGGCCGACTCACCATTACGAACCCAAAAGACCACTTGCAACCGCCGAAAATAAGAGCTAAATCTCAACTAATTGGCTTTAACTCCTTCAATCGTTAAGATAATAAGATCGTACCCGATAATAACAGCTAAAACGTAATACCAGATTCCCAACATAAAATAAATTATGTATCCACAAATGAATGATACTGGTATGTGGGAGAGATACCCTAATGCATCCGCCATTGGATACCTAGTAGCGAAAGAGTTAATAAATCAATTTAAAAAAACAAGGAATAAATAAATATTCATAAAACATACAAAAATTAAAATATAAGTTCAGGAAAGCCTATTAAACAATAATATTTTAAAAGGATCACGGTAAATAAATAATTCTCTGCAAAGCTCTATACAAAGATCTTAGCCTCACATGAATGTCCGATAGCGGAAATTGAAATAGTTAAAGCTGATATTCAAATTACTTTAAAACATTTAGACAGTTGGGCTAAACCAAAAAAAAAATTAAAGCGACTTAGTGAATTTGTTTTATGATCTTTTGGTTGCAAGTAATCCCTACGGTGTAGTTTTGGTTATTGGTGCTTGAAATTATCCAATTTTTGTTCTATTTCAACTGTTGTTGGTTAGTAGTTCTCATTTGATAAATTAAACTTACTTTTCTTGATACCCGTGTTAATTTTATCAGCAAATATTAAAATAATGCTTTGTTTTTTTTTTTCAATATTGCTACAGTTCTTGTTTGAAACATTTTTCCTACAGGGGACAGCTTTAGGAAAAGCCCGCTTTATGCATCTTTTTGGTGTCTCAAAATTGACATTCTCAACAACATTCAGCTTGTTCGTGGAGTTTTTAGAGTTCAGTCGTAGTTTCTATTCTGACGATTGCAACTGGAGTACTATTTTCTTGTACATCTAGGTACATACAAATCGTTATAAGCATCACAATTTGGCGAATTACATTTTAATTGGTTGGGTGAGTCAGTTTGTGTTAAGCCGTAAATTAGGTACTAGATAAGCTATAGGCATGCAAGTATGTATTTTTTTCACCCATTTTTTTTAATGTACTACTAGTAGTACGTTTTGTGTAAAGTTTTAGAAAAGTTGTTGGAAGTGTAAACAACGCTAAATACCTAAAAAAGTCTAATACGATCGAACAAGTTTGGTGTTATAGCTGTCTTGGCATTCTAATGCAACTTTATAACTAACAATAATCAAGAAATAATTAGAACTATTTTTACCGTAATTTAAGTTAACCTCTATGAATTAGAAGGTTTGAACTCAATAAAGAAACATAAAAGAAACTACCGATATTTTGGGATGTGGACTATGTACAAGTATTCTAAAAATGTTGTAAACATGATCGTTATAAAACCTCGTTTATGCTTTCGCCTCTTTAAGGCTCCTCTTTGGAGCAAGCGAGCAATGTCAGTTGCAAAGTAATAGTTGTCGAGTGGCAGAACTGCTACTAAAGTAGGGAAAATTTAAAGTGAAAGTATGTAGAAAGAATTTTATTTAATTTTTGATGGAGAAACCAACACAAACCATGAGCAGGAAGCTTCTCTGATCTTAGCAGCTATACAATAGGAACGGATCTTAAATTAAAGATTTTGATATGCAGCTTATTTTATCTGCGATATCTAGTACGTCGTGATACTTAACAAAAAGTTCGTAACTAACAGTGTAGAAGCTTGCTTGGTATGAACGGAACATTCTTCTTGGGAAGCCTTTTGATGTGGTCTTGCTATGTGGCCTTTGCGATAGCTAGTAGTTTTTAGGGTTTCTTTAGCTCTGTTGCTGGAGCTGTCTGTCGTGTGTAGAACATATCTTTGTTGAGAGACTGAATTATATCTTCTATTGTGGGTATCAAAAGGGTTAATTAATTCTGACGGATTATCTGCATATTTCCTTATGCATTTCCTTTGGATTTTTCTTTCTGCTGCCAGAATGGTGTTAATTAAGCGTTTTGTAATTCTGTAACTCTCCATATACCATCTTATATTACTATTTAATTGTTTTTGTGATCTGTCAAATAGAGATGCGTGTCTCAGCATCC